TGGTAGAAGAGCAAACTGATTTTTTTGCAGGCCATGAGAACACTTTGAACTTTTTGTTGTTGAAGCATAAACAGTCTAAAGTACATTGCGAATACATTGTGAATACATTGTGTCAAGTAGAATTACTTTACATTTTCATCCAAATCACCACAATATAACTTTTGGATACAAAATACAACTTAAACAATCACAACAAATATTAAACCCACACCCCGGCTTTAACAGGTTTTATAGCTTAGTAGGATTAACTTTATGCAAGTTGTCAGTACCAGATATATCAGTCTGTTTGAACCAAAAAACTCTGTCGATATCATCAATGTTCGTCCAATTCGTTTTATTATCAACCAGTCCCTTCAGTTTCAGCTCTGCCAGTCTAATTAAGAAAAAACAAAAAGTTAATGTGACATAAAATATCAAATTAAAGGCATATGTGTATCAGACTATTAGGAGTTTACCCTGTGATTTTTGTGAACAGAAATTCAGTCTGCTTGGTAAAGGAGAATCTGACTTCAGCAGGTAGAGACAATGGGCCGTCTGCTTTAATGCAGTGAGGAATTCCTTCCACATACACATCCCAGCTGAGAAAAAGATACAATTTATATGCTGTTTTATTGTAGTTCAGATGGAAAAAATTATTTTGTTTTTCAAAACAAAGCACATCAGCATATACACTTGCAACTCAGTAAATTACAATTTCATCAAAAATGTAATCACAAGGAAACTCACACCCTAATCAACATTTTTTGCTGATAAACTATCTAAATAAGCTATCTGGACTTCTGTCTTCATGTTTCTGTGAGAATTTTGATATTTTTTTGCTATTCTTTTAGTTCTGCATTATTTTGCTTCAAATCGTCTCACTACTGGTCTCTTCAGTCAAACAGTTCTTAGACATTTAAATTTTCCTATTGGTTGCAGCAGGATGACTTGGTACAACTTTGTCACTTCTGGTGTAAAAGCACAGCCCTCCATCCCTCCCCACCTCTTGCTCGCCTCTGAGCGACTGGTGGAGAGTCAAGAGTAATAAATGCTGCCATGGCGACTGGCGGGCTAATTGCGTTACTCACCTTTACAAATGTGTGATTTATTTGCAATGTTGTGTTACATTGTGACATCTAGTGAACTTTATATTATCTTCCTTCTTTTAATTCCACTTGAAGTCTGTTGTCTTGTGAGCGTTAATGTTTCATCATAACAGATAAAACACTCTTATCTTACCTGGGAGTAATTGCGAATAAACACTTCAGGCATTTTTTGAGAGAGTTACCTATTACAGTTTCTTTTTTTTTTCTGTAGAACATTCTGAATAATATTTGTCATGTTTGGTATTGTTGCAATCAAGTCCACCTCATTGCTTATGGAGGAAATGCACAAAATATTATCTGAAGTACATTAAGAATATTTGAAAAAAAAAAAATCTGTGATCAATTTGTGATTGCTTGAGACAGCCCTGTCTGTCTATAAATTTTAAGTTTATAATATAACAAGTTTCAGTGTTATATTGAATTGGTGAAGTACATTTACTTCCAAGTTAATAAGATGCACTTGTAAATATAAAGCCAAACAGGGAAAAGGGGTTTTTGTGTTTTTGCCACTCTGTTTTCTCACCAGTAATCTTTCTGACGCTGCTTGAGCTCCTGTTCCCGGCTGTACCTGCCAAGTTGATGACTATCTTCGAACCCTTTCAGGGCTGGGAAAAGAGAGAGAGAAAAAATCATTTGATGATATGTCGGTATTAATTTGCTCCTGTTTTCCTCTAGTTCAGTGGTTCTTAACCTTTTTTGAGGTACCGAACCCCCCAGTTTCATATGCGCATTCATCGAGCCCTTCTGTAGTGGGTTTTATTGCCCCCCCGGACACACAATATAATTTGCGGTATTCTGATTTAGTAACGCAATTATATTAGTTGTATTACCACCCCCACGCCACTAGAGGCAGTACCAACCCCGAAAAAGATGCGACCAAGGAGCAGATTTAGAAGTACACCGAAAGGCTTTCAGCGATAGCTACAGAATTTGGTAAAAAACGGTGAGCTTTACTGAAGTAATTAAAGACACAAGTTCAAATCCATGCTGAGAGTGGAGCTCCTTCAATCAGTGCTCCTCCGCAGCTCTGATTGGTTAAATGTAACGTGATCCTCTGGAGAAAGTGATGGCAAAGCGGGGCGTCATCACGACTTGACACAAGTGTGTCTTTACCTCGCGGCTCCGCCGAAACCCTGAGACCGACTCTTCGAATCCAGGTTAAGAACCACTGCTCTAGTTTAACAGATCCAAGCTTTTAACATAATTTACGGCTGTTCGACGGACCTGTTCCCTCTCTGAAGCGGTGCACCTTGCTGTCACTGATCCAGCGGTAGACAGGAAAGTTGTAAATCTCTCCGTCTGGGGATTTCACTTCCACTTTGGCTGGGAACCAAGAATCTTCTGGGAACAGAAAAAGAGGCTTTTTGTCCAGCTCCACCAGCACCAGCTTTCCAAGGGACGTGGGGTAGGAAACTGTAAAAGACGCCACCTAACACAAAGAAAACAACAATTTGAAATCATAAAAAAAAACCTTCAAGTTATAGCAAGAGGTTAACAACGATAAGCCACAGCAGCAACAGAATGGGTTAGGTCAATTAATATTCATCTACATTAGAGTATCTAGCGCAAATGTATTTTGCACATAAGAACAGAGAAATATCAGCCTGTACATTCGCAAAGCTGGCAGAGACCTACCCTAAAATAATAATACCAACTGCAGGGTTTCCCCCAGAAAACTTGCTAACCCCTGTAGTCGGGGCGTCGAGTCGGTCCACCGGCGGTCCACCGTGTTTTGTCTTAGAAGATGTTAAGTTGACAGGAAATGTAAAAGTATTACTGTGTAATTTATATGTTA